TTGAATACAAAACAATATTTTCGCCACTGTATGTATATGTATGTGGAGTTATTTATAGCGGTATGATTGTTGTTCGTAGGATCATGAAACACATCAATACTACAAACAGATAAGAGAACTGCTTTTCTTACATGACAATGAGTCAAAGAAAATCCGTAAAATACGATTTGAGTGAAGAAAATCTACAACAGGTTCTTGACCTGAAATGCAATGACGTCGTTGTAGTAATATAACGAGTACCATTGAGAAATCATAAAAAAACTGAATTATTTAAACAAAACGATTGGATCCTTTTTTTTCAATAACCTCAAGCTGAATAATTACCATCGTCAGAGAAAAAAGTATTTTGATGATGTACAATTGTACATTACACTGTGACATTACAGAATGGAACTTAACAAAAAAAAAAGAGAAATTGAAGTTTCAATCCGCAAGGATTCCGATGGTGAAAGTTTGTAAAGATCTACCAATGTCAGTCAATGCAATGTTCTCTGTTTTGAGTGTTGATTTCTTTTTTCCCTCATTATGTTGATTGCCTCAGTCTATTTAGTCCATAAGATTCGCGTCAGATGTTGGCAGCGAGACGAACAGTACAAGTAGTTTGTAACTTAAATCGTTTATTATTACATCTCTTTACCTGCTGAGTTCAAAAAGTACTGTTATATACAAATGATAATTTAAATAATTTAAATAGTAAAAGATAAGTTTTAAGGAAGCTTCAGTGTTCATTTTTTGATTTAAGGACTTTGACGGCCAGCACTATCATGATGAAGTGGACGTTGGCTGCACGCTACGCCTGGTGGATAAGGCTGCAATGCGTGGTGATAGCGAGGAGGATTCAGAATATTACGACGATGAGGAGGTCTCTCTCCTACCCTACTCTAGAAAATCCTTTAATGACTGCAATTTTTAGTATTCCGATGAAGAATACTGGGACGAGGACGAGGAGTATGACGAAGAAGGTGAATATGAAGGAGAACAAGAGTATGAAGGGGAAGAAGAAGAAGAGGAAGAGGATGAGATGCATAGTTTCGAGGAAAGTGCTGATGAGAGCAGAAAAGTGAGTGATATGCGGGATTTTAGTGATTGAGTTTGTGTTTTCGAAAAATCTTTATCTATTTGATCCTCATTTAGCATTTTACCTAGAAATTACGAAAATCCTATGAAATCTAGAAGTTTAGCGCCAACCATTTAGATGGTCATCTTATGTAGGCTCCACTAATAATTTCAGTCACCATATCCAATAGTTATCGCAGAACCAGAAATCGAAGAGGAGTGTTTGAGCCTTGAGGAAGCAGACGCTGAGTTTGAGGTAACAAGGGTGCCATAGAATAGCGGTGCTATCCCCAAAAGGCATGAAATATCACCCTGCTCTTACCCTTATTGCACATTAGTTTGATAGATCATCTGCAGCTAACAAAATGTAGCTTTAGAAGTAGAAATGCCTTTTAGAGCTATTCTTATCATAGGTTTTTGTTATCCAGCACACTGATGACAGTTTGGCTCAATTTTATGGTGTACTAGATTAGGTAAGAAAGGGTAGGAGATCAAATCAATACATCAGTTTCAAATGCTTATTTTTGTTTCTTATCTGTTCGTAAAATAGACCGATGTAGTAAAGCTGCTAAGCAAAAGCCGTCGAATCGTCTTATGACACGAAATAACATCGTCACGATTTTAATTGCCAAAAAGAGCACGCATTTTTTGGACATCTTTAGCTTTCCAATCTGTCGACTTATATGCTGATAGAGAAATGTAACAAGGATTGTAGAATTTATGAGTGCCCTACAAATCCTCAAGGTCATACCGCTAGCCTCAGCCGAATCTTGTCAGTGTGCTAGTACTTGCCTACTATGTGTCAATGCTTATTGCTCGTATA